GGGGCGTCTCTGGGGCGACGGCGCCGGGGCGGCCGGGGGCGAGCGGCGGGAATATGGCGGGGGGAGCGGCGGAGCGGGCAGCCGCGTTCCAGGGAGAGGTCGAGGAGCAGGAGTGTGAGGAGGAGGAGCAGGAGGAAGAGCAGGAGGCGCCCGAGGGAAAGGGCCGAGAGCAAACGGGGCGGCGGCGCCCTGAGGTAAGCGGGCTGCGCCCTCGCCCCGCGCGGCGAGCAGCGTTTGCGGCGCCGCCGGCCACGCGGTCGGTTTGCCAGAGAAACCAAAGGTGGCGGCTTTTAACGCGTAAAAATTGGTGTCACGGAGAAACGGACAGGGAGCAGCTCTCGGACATGTGGGTTTTAGGCCGTAGGCTGTTGCTTTTCTCATGTACTCCATGCTGCTGCCTGCAACCCTTCTGATGCATATCTGAAGATAATTAAAAGAATCTAACAAAGTGCTTCTGAAAAATCCCCCACAGGTTTTGGGTATTCCGGCTGTTATCCCTGAGTTAGTCCAGGACGGGGAGTTTTCTCAGCGCATACACCATTTTGAAGGTGCCAAAGCTGTGGTGTCTCCTGCCCTTCCATAGGGGCCACCCTACAGAAACAAGGTGTGTGGTTTCACGTGTCACTGCACAACCGCTGCTGAAGCATCGTCACATTCGAAAAAATTCAAACATTGAAGCCCTCTGCTAGACTGCATTGGGAGCTGGTAGAGAACCAGATAGTTCACGAATTTCTTTAATCCCTGCTCATGTATGGGATATTAATGGTCAGAGAGGGGCACGTGAAAACATGCTGTTGTCACACTGCACTACTCTATAGTGCATAACTGCTAACTGCTTTGTAAAATGCTTTGCAATTTGTGAGTGACAAGCTTTATTGGACTGTTAGAGTCCACAGAGGTTTACCTTTAGTGCTCATGTTATAATTCTGTGGTTAGGCGCTTTCTTGGAGGTAGACTGGATTTTGCTTTCCATTATGAAATTATTAAAACCTAGAGGAGCAAAGTTTTTTAGTTAGGCCCCGTGAAGAAAGGTGGGCATGAACAGAACACTGATTGCTGCAAAGTAGACTTGTTTCTTG